TGCCCTCCGGTACTTTTTGGATTGGTCGGAGGGAGAAAGGCGCAGGAAGGGTCCAGGTGAGGGTTGCGAAGTCACATCCCAGATGGCTGCCATTCGTGTTAACCTACAACGTTCGGAAGGAAACACTGAAAACTGCTGGGAGACGCTGGACTCATCTAACTAAAACATTCCGAATGAAGTTGGGACCGGGCAGTCCCGTCTGGGCCGGGAAGGCGCGGTGAGAAGCGGGTCAGCCCGTGCCGCAGTCACCGGCCATCCGCGTGGGGGCGCCTGCGGGCCCGCCGCCGGGACGTCTTCCCGCGGCCTCCGGAAGTGATCTGCAGACCCGCCGCGCCGGAAGTGCTCCCCGACCCGCCGCGCCGCACCGCGCCGCCCAGCTTCGCGCCGCTGGAAGATGGCGCAGGAGGCTGACGCTATGGAAGACGGGCAGCTTTCTGACTCGGATTCCGACATGACTGTCGCGCCCAGCGACAAGGCCCTCCCGGTGCCGGTGAGCGTGGTTCTAGGCGGCGAGCTTGGAGCTCCTGCTGCTGTGAGGGTGCGGGGCGGCCAGGCGCCCCCAGCTGCGCGGGCCGAAGTGAGGGTGATTGATTGGTCGGCCGGGGCGCGCGGGCGGGACAGGGCCCGGCTGGCACGCGCAGGCCGGGCTGCGGGCAATGCTGGGCGATTTGGGGCGGACGGTGGCCGGGCCGCTAGGTGCAAGGCTAGGCCTCGCGGGCTTGGAGCCTCCTGGAAGTGGACAAAGGAGCCAGGCTCCTTTGCTTTCGCTGGCGCCGCTTTTCATTTTCAGTTTTTAGGGGCTAGTCCACTGCAGCGCCAAAGGCTTGCACCCGAAGGGTAGGCATTACCGAAAAATGTCAAGCCTGGGGAATTGGGAGTCTGGTGATGCAGGGGCTAAAGTGCTTGGCTGCTAATAGAAGGCCGCTGCGAGAGAAAGATAAAGCAGCTCTTTTCAGTGACTGTTAGCCTTGGAAAATCTATGAGCCATATTTACTCTCCCTTTTAGGGCCGCTATTGTTAACTTCAAATGTGGTGCCTTGCCCTGGAGCGGTTGAGGCGGCTCAGTAACCACCCTGCTGAATCTATTACCCACGTAACCACACCTGTATGCAATTATAGCTTCCAGGAAGTTTTCGGACTTGGTTTTTCTCTTGCCAGTGTGAACTATAGATAATATACAAATGGGGGCGCAATTCTGTCAATGAGTGGGGTTTCACAGCAGTAGTAAAGAAACTGCCAAATGGGAATGTTCAAAATTTCCCACCTATGTGTCCCTCAGCTTTTGATGGGGCAGCTCCCACCTTAAAGGCATCCAGAGACGATGGGCTAATTGGAGTATAAAGACACTTCTAACAGCTGCCTTGCTTAATGCTTACTGGCTAGTGATTCATCATGACCCTCTGTGAAGTTGCAACGGGTTTGGTTTGGGATGTTGGCCTGAAGGGGCCCATGGTACCCATTATGTCGAAAACCGGCTTTGAATAGATGAGAATGAGGCCCAGAGATGAAGCTCATCATTTGCTGCAAAACCTGGTCTTCAGAATTCCAACCCAACCGGACTTTGCCTTAGTGAATAGCTGCAGACAAGTTCTCTGAGTAATGCACGTGTCCTAGTTTCCTTAGTGCGAGAAAGACTGGGCAGTTCTACCCTGTCCTTTAGAGTTGCTGTGAGTCTGTGTTGACTCGGTGGCAGTGAGTTTTGTTATGTTTTGTGGTTGGAGGTTCCATGATACTTTCCAGTTTTATGGCTGAGAGTTTGTCTTGGCTGCTGTTAGGAACAAAGCTTTGGGGCTTTGAGGCCAGGCTGCCTACATTAGAATACTGTTGCTGTCACCGTGACCTGGAGGAATTTATTTATTTTACCTTGCTGCCTTAATGCCCCATTCTGTGGTGTGGCACTGTAAGGATTCATTGGCGCAAGCAGCCATAACCTGAAAATGTTAGCTGCCATTATTATTGGAAGATAGGCATTGTCGGTCAGCCTTGCCCAGAGTGGCCTGGCTGCCAACTGATTCATTCAGTTCAACTCCTATTGAAAACTTGCCTTTCCACCCCAGATATACTAAACCAGAATTTGAAGTTATGCAAAATCCCTGCATGAGTCTTAAAGATTCCTCTCTCTTAGGTAGACATCAGAACATCTAGGGATCTTGATAAAACTTAGGTTCTAATTCAGTATATCTGGGGTGGAAAGGCAAGTTCTCGGCTGGTGGTCTAACCAACTAAGTGCTGCCATTGCGGTAGAAATAAGCACTTTTGTCTTTAAAACTGACAAATTTCTTGTGCAACTTCAGAAAGCAGGAACCTTGGGATTGGTCCCAAGATGTCTTTTTTTTTTTTCTAAAAACATTATAAGAGGCGCACACAAAACTCATCACAATCCATACATACATCAATTGTGTAAAGCACATTTGTACATTCATTGCCCTCATCATTCTCAAAACATTTCCTCTTCACTTAAGCCCCAGGCATTAGGTCCTCATTTTCCCCCTCCCTCCCCGCTTCCCCCTCCCTCATGAGCCCTTGATAGTTTATAAATTATTTTGTCATATCTTGCCCTCTCCGACGTTTCCCTTCACCCACTTTTCTGTTGTCCGTCCCCCAGGGAGGAGGTTACATATAATGCCTTGTAATCGGTTCCCTCTTCCCAACCCACTCTCCCTCTACCCTCCCAGTATCGCCACTCACACCACTGGTCCTGTAGGGATCATCCGCCCTGGATTCCCTGTATTTCCAGTTCCTATCTGTACCAGTGGACATCCTCTGGTCTAGCCAGACTTGCAAGGTAGAATTCATGTCATGATAGTGGGAGCGGGGAGGAAACATTTAGGAACTAGAGGAAAGTTGTATTTCTCATCGTTGTTACATCACACACTGACTGGCTAGTCTCCTCCCTGAGACCCCTCTGCAAGGGGATCTCCAGTGGCCTACTAATGGGCTTTGGGTCTCCACTCCGCACTCCCCCCCATCATTCACTATGGTAAGATTTTTTTGTTCTGATGATGCCTTACACCTGATCCCTTCGACACCTCGTGATTGCATAGGCTGGTGTGCTGCCATGTGGGCTTTGTTGCTTCTGAGCTTGATGACCGCTTGATTACCTTCAAGCCTTTAAAGCCCCAGATGCTATACTTTTTGATAGCCGGGCACCATCAGCCAAGATGTCTTAAAGAGTGGTTCTACTTAGAGGAGGTCCAGTTGGATTTACATTTATTTATTATGCCATACTCGTGCGTGGGTTGATGTATTTTGTGGGACTCTGAATTTTCTTTCACTTGCAGAAAGTACTAGGTGGAGACATTGCTGTGGGGCCCTTCCAGAATACTGCATCAGCGTGTGCACCAGTATCCCATTATCGAAATATTAAAAGTATGGATTCAAGCGACGAGAGTTTCTCTGATTCCGATGATGACAACTCTGTTTGGAAACGAAAGCGACAGAAATGTTTTAATCCTCCTCCCAAACCAGAGCCAATTCCATTTGACCAGAGCAGCCAGAAACCGTGTGTTGCTGGGAAAAAGATCAACAACATATGGGGTGCTGTCCTACAGGAGCAGAATCAAGATGCAGTGGCTACTGAACTTGGTATCTTGGGAATGGAGGGCACTATTGATAAAAGCAGACAGTCTGAGACTTACAATTATTTGCTTGCAAAGAAACTTAAGAGGGAATCTGAGGAGCATACAAAAGAATTAGACAAAGAGCTAGATGAATATATGCGCAGTGGCAAAAAAGCAGAGGAAGAAAACGGACAGAGTCATCTCAAACGCAAACGCCCTGTGAAAGACAGAATAGGGCCCAGGGTCGAAATGAATTATAAAGGCCGGTATGAGATCTCCGAGGAAGATTCGCAAGAGAAAGTGGCTGATGAAATTTCCTTCAGGTGAGCATTTAAATTCATCATACAAATGAGCACCAGATGTCATTGATCCACGGAAAGTACACTCCAAATAAATGATTGATGATCTATTTAAAATCTTTCTTTAAGAAATAAACTCTAGATCTCCTTAGTTGGTTATACAGATATACTCGTGTTTTCTTAAATGTAGACAGACATGATGGAATGTTTAAGAGAAGATAAGCTGTTTAGCAGCTCTTTGCTATTTAGTGCCATAAAAGAACTCTGCAGGCGTCCTCAAACTGTGGCCTGCGGGCCACATGCGGCCCGGCCGAGGACATTTATCCGGCCTGCCACGTGTTTTTGCCCCGTTTTTTTTATTTCAGAATAAGATATGTGCAGTGTGCATAAGAATTTGTTCATAGTTTTTTTTAAACTATAGTCCGGCCCTCCAACGGGTCTGAGGGACAGTGAACTGGCCCCGTTTAAAAAGTTTGTTTTTTAAAAAGCTTTTTTATGTTTAGTTCTTTACCAACCTGGTGGAACTTGGCACGTTTTTGCTATTAGTGCTGCAGTGGACTTTCCGATCTTTGAGCAAGTATTTCTCCTGGGGAAATACCTAATAGTATTGCTCAGTATGTGAGGCATTAATGAATCAGATATCTTAACAAGTTTAGATTTAAATATGAATGCTTTTGTTAGCATTATGTTACCAATGGATAACTGAAAATGGACCTTTTCAATTCATAGTGATGTAGTAGGAAAACCTTCACAGAGCAAATAACCTTGTTTTTCTCCCATGAAGTGACTAGTGAGTTTGAACTGCCCACCTTCTGGTTAACAGCTCATTGTGTAGCCCACTATGCCACCACGACTTTACCAGTGGATAATGTCACAGATTTGAAAGTAGCTATGGCTCAAGGAGCCCTGGTGGTGTGGTTATTCATTGAGCTGCTAACTACAAGGTCTGCAGTTTGAAACCACCGGCCACTGTGCAAGGGAAAGATGAGACTTTCTACGCCTGTAAAGCATTAAAGCCTTGGAAACTCACAGGGCAGTTCTCCCCTGCCCTATATGGTTGCTATGAATCAGAATCGATTCAATGGCAGTGAGTTTGGCTTTTTTATGTCTGAAGAGTAATAGAATTGATGAAGAAACAAATGGTCTGCTTTCCAGACAAACCTAGCTCCACGGCAGTACTGGCTTTATAAATACCGAAGGAGTTTGAACTATGAGTGCTGGAAAGGAACTTGAAGCTTTTGTAAAGCAAAGCTTCTACTTTACACACAAGGAAA